GTCACCCTCCCCAGCGGCCTCTTCCGGGAGGACTGCGGCTCGGCCCGGCCTCGCCATCCTTTCGGCGTCTTCGACATCCAGGCGATGCTTTCAACTCCCGGTCTCGCCGGTCAGACGCACAACCGGCCTGGTCCCTCACCCGGTCACATCCTAGACCTTCCACCGACGCCACCGCTTCAGCCTCAGAGCGCCACTCGGAGTCCTGTCCTCCCACCATTCGTTCCATAATAGTTTTTTAAAATATTTGTTTGTGTGTGTGTGTGTATTTTGTTTTGTTTTGTTTTTTTGAGAGAGAGAGAGAGAGGAGAAAGGAGAGGGAGAGAGAGAAACATCAATGACAGGAACATCACTGGGCTGCCTCTTGCACGCCCCCTTCTGGGGATCGAGCCCACAACCCGGGCAGGTGCCCTGACTGGCGATCCTGGTTCCTGGGTCCACGCTGGGCCACGCCAGCCGGGCTCATTCAATAACAATTTCAAGGGAGGCTGTCTGTCGTGTGCTACCTGTCCACCCACCGCCCAGCGTCTCACTGAGCACCTCTGAGACGCCCGCACGAGGCTGGCGTGGCCGCGGTGGGGCTACGCTCTCCTACAAGCAGCAGCTGTGTCCCGCGTGCTGGCGGGGGCCAGGTGTGCGCACTCCACCCCACGCAATGCGCACGTGCAGATCAGAAGCCTCCCGAGTCTCTCCTGCTCGGGGACACGGGAGGTCGGGCACGTGTCAGACACTGTCCCCGTCACAACAAACGGAGAGCGGAACCCACACCAGCGGGAGCGCGGCCGAAGCGGGGGGCTTTTCTAGTGGAGTCACAGCGGACTCAGGAAGTGACCCCCGGTTTGTGGGGAAGTGAGGTCGGGCGCTGTGCAGGGGCCCGGGGGGACCTCTGGCCCCGAGTGCCACGCCGTGGGCTCTGCCTGCTGCGCTGAGTGTGAAGTGGCAGGAGACTGAGCAGAGCAGTCAACTAACTCCTGTTCCGAAAGGCTCCCCTGGCCGATGCCTGGCGGGTACACCGGTCAGCTGCCTGTCGCCTAGGATGCATTCGGATGTAAGTTACCCAATTCCCAGCTACCGTGGCTTACACAACAGTCTTAACCTCAATAAAAAGCAATGGCCCAGCCCTAGCCCATTTGGCTCAGTGGATAGACCGTTGGCCTGCAGACCGAAGGGGTCCTGGGTTCAATTCTGGACAGGGCACACGCCTGGGTTGTGGCCTTGATCCCCAGTAGGGGGCGTGCAGGAGGCAGCGATCAATGATTCTCTCTCATCGTTGATGTTTCTATCCCTCTCCCCTTTTCCCTTCCTCTCTGAAACCAATGAAAACATATTAAAAAAAAAAGCGATGGCCCGGCCAGCGTGGCTCAGGGGTTGAGCGTAGACCCATGAACCAGGAGGTCACGGTTTGAATCCTGGTCAGGGCTCATGCTTGGGTTGCAGGCTCGATCCCCAGTGTGGGTGTGCAGGAGGCAGCCAATCGATGATTCTCTCTTCTCATTGATGTTTCTCTCTCTCTCTCCCTCTCCCTTCCTCCCTGAAATCAATAAAAATATATTTTAAAAAGTAAATAAAAAGTGATGAATATTCCATTTTAGGAGTGCAGACTCCCCATCTCTCCTCTCTGCCTGGGTCACCTCCTACGTGCTGCCTCATGGCCAGATGTGGCTGTCACAGCACGAGTGTCCTATCTCTACACCACCGCTCAACAGGAAGGCAGAGGCAGGCAGGAAAAGGACAGCCATCTTTTAAAATTAATGTCTAGCCCTGGCCGGTGTGGCTCAGTGGATAGAGCGTCGGCTTGTGGACTGAAGGGTCCCAGGTTTGATGTGGGTCAAGGGCACATGCCAGGGTGGGGGCTCGATCCCCAGTCGGGGGCGTGCATGAGGCAGCGGCTGGTGATTCTCTCTCATCACTGATGTTTCTCTCTCTCCCTCCCTCTACCTTCCTCTCTGAAAGCAATAAAAACATTTTTTAAAAAATAAATGTCTGATATCCTCTGGTAAGAGGCTCCCCCAGCAAATTGCTCCCTAAACCTCTTTGGGCATCCCTGAGCTCCAAGAAGGTGGGAGTGAGTGTGGCAGAGAGGACAGGACTGCCCCCCCAAAAAAATCAGGGTTCACTTGGGTGGGAAGTGGGGGTGCAGGCTGCGGGGAAGCCACCAACAGGCGTGTCTCAGAGAGAAAGAGAATCGAAGAGGGGTGTGAACAAGGGACAGCACGCACGGCGCCTGCTGCAGGGCTGGCCAAACTGCTCACGTGGCGGCGGCGTGACCGGTGACAGAAAGAAACCAGCCACTCCCGGTTTCTGCCCTAAGCAGCCGTGGGCGGGGCTCTGTCCTGGGACAGGGAAGCAGTGGGAAGAGCCTGTTGCTCATTGGATTGCACGTTAAGAATGTTGTGTTCGCCGCACAAGTGGAGGTGTCGGGCAGGCAGCTGTGCTGGGTACCCGCACCTGCCTTCCCACCGCCCCAACCCCTCCAGGCCCCGCCCACACCCCCACGGATCCCGCCCACCTCTGCCTTGGCACTGGATCCATACCAGCTCTTGGTCATGCTTGGCCACGTAAGGTGGTATAATTTTTTAAAAATATATTTTTATTGATTTCAGAGAGGGAGGGAGAGGGAGAGAGAAACATCAATGAGGAGAGAGAGCCATCGATCGGCTGCCTCCTGCACGCCCCACATTGGGGTGAGCCCACAACCTGGTCATGTGTCCTGACCGGGAATCGAACCCTGACCTCCTGGTTCATAGGTCGACGCTCCACCACAGTAGCACGCCGGCCAGGCGACGTTGTGTATTCCGTGCACATCGCACAACGACCGCCTCATCCCCTCGCATGGTCACCTGTTCTGCCGGGAGACGGCTCCACACTTGCTCTTAGCGACTTTCGGGTTGATGACTCGGGATGAACCATGGTCACCAGCTCAGGACGATCATCCTATAGCTGCACATCTGTCCCCTCTGCCCAGCACCTCCCATGTCCCCGCCCCTGCCCAGGACCACACTCCACTCTCTGCCCTGAGTCCCTTCCTTTTAGAGCCCACGCAGGAGCAAGAGTGTGAGCGGGTCCTGTCATTGGACACACCTCACCCAGCCAAGGCCCCAAGGCCCGTCCACAGGTCAGAACGGCAGGACGCCGTCTTTCCCCTGGCGTGCTCATCGCTCGAGTCCAGGTGCCACGCCTCCGGTGACACTCGCGTGTGGACAGGCACGTGGGCGGTTTCCTTGTCTTGACTGTGAGGAACGCCCGTGAGCACAGGCTGCAGGCATCTCTCCCAGACCCTGGTTTCATTTCCTCCAAGTAACTCCGCTGAACTGGGATTGCTGGGTCACAGGTCATTCTAATGATCGTTTTTTGAAATTATATTTGTATTGATGTCAGAGAGGAAGGGAGAGGGAGAGAGAGAGAAACATCAATGATGACAGAGAATTACTGATCGGCTGCCTCCTGCACGCTCCCCACTGGAGACCGAGCCCACAACCTGGGCCTGTGCCCTCACCTGGAATCGAACTGTGACTTCCTGGTTCCTAGGTCGACGCTCAGCCAGGGACCCGTCCCGGCCAGGCTAGTTGCCCCTTTTGAGGCCCCCCCATAGTCTCCAGCGGGGGCTGCGCCGTCTGCATTCCCCTCCACGTCACGGCCGTCCTAATGGGCGGTGCATGCTCACAAGGTCCGTCTGCATTTCCCGAGGATGAAGTTTTTGAGATGAGATGCTGGTGACGACTGCGAACTGCGGGAGTGCAGTAAAAGCCACTGTGCTGTGCATTTTAAAATCGTTAAATGGTGAATTTTGTTACGTGAATTTCACCTCAGTAAAAAAAATCTTGAATAAAAAATGTAAATAATGTTAAAGATATTCACCCCCATCCCTCTCTGCATCAGCACGCCAGCCTCCTCTGCTCCCAGTCCTGTTCCGTCCGGCCGGCACTGCCCTTCCGCGGGTCCTCAGGGCTCTGGCCACCCCGCTTGGTCATCAGCACCAGCACTGCAGGCCACAGGGCCCTCCCGGGTCCCACAAGCCGTCTCCGTACCTGGACAGTTCGGGTCACTGCCCGATCGGAGCAGCATCTGCGTCCCACACAGCACCCCCGACATCCGGGGCTGGACCGATTCCGCCACCAGAGCGGAAGCCGTGGCGGGAAGCAAGGTCTGTGCGCTCCCTCTGCTCAGCCTGCACGCCGGTGGGGGCTGTGTCCTGTCCAGCCAGCGCAGCTACACACTCGCCCTGGTCCCTTCGTCTCTCCATCCTGCCCGGCCCATCACGGCCACTCCCCCAACTTCTCCGCGACCAGAGCAGTCCCCCAACACGTAGCGCGGGCCACGCAGGCCCTTCCCGCACGCACGGCACCTTCCGGGCAAGTGGACTCGCGTGCACTCAGACTGAACGGTGTGACTGTCACAGAAATAATGGAACCCAGGGCCCCGCTGCATTCCGGGCACGTCTGGGTGGCTGCCGGCTGGAGCAGAGACCCCCGAGGACGCTGCCCACACGTCAGGTTAGGATCGCCCACGGCTGCCTCAGGTTTGGCCGCCGGCACCCTGGGCCGTCACACACGGAAGCCCCGGGGACTTGTTTAAAATGCTCGGAATCGGACGTGACCCCTATTTGGGGGTCCCTTCACCTGACAGGCCACCCAACACCCCAAACGTCTCAACTGAACGAGGACATCACCTGTCGGACCTGTCACACCTGCACACTCAGCCACGGCCGCTCCCGCCCCCTGGGCCTGGGCCGCCCGCCTGGGGTGACGTGACCGAGGGCCCAGGGGAGGCCCTGCGGGACAG